TCGACTCTCATAGAGCCGTATTGCCAATAGACCGAAGTAGGGGTCGGATCGCTGCAGAATATCTGCTCGACATCAGTATCGGTGCCTCTATAGCCATAAGCCGTGTCTTTCTTTTGAATGATCGCCGGTTTACCCATAATATCGACAATTATTTTAGCACTTCTGACGATCAGCTCTTTGTTTGTAATGGAGTTGTGATTTAATGCTTCGCAATAATAATGGCCTAAAATGAGAGCAAAAGTGTGATTACATTTGTCAGAGAAAATAGCGTCAAATATGTATAATATGTGAAAAGAATATTCAATATCTACCTTCATCGTGATAAGTGGCATTTTGAATGACCAAAAAGCTGGCATTCGCTTCATTATTGGGACGATTCCTCACTTGATCTGTAATGGGATTGATGTGAAACCACATGATTTTGGGCACAGGATTGCCGTCGTATTCGCAGTACAGTCTAATAGAGTCGCCCAATTCGACCGACTGTTGGGGCTCTGAGGCTCGGATCAGTGTTGGCTCGACTGGCAATTCAAGACAGCAATGATTAGATATAATGAGTCTCGAAGTGATGGCAATGAATACATACACAAGACATCTAAAGTGATTTGTTCGTTATTGGAAGCGCCGAATTCATTGCGAGCGCTGCACTCAAACACCGCTTTATTCATACTTTTGGTGACTCTATCGATGATAAGAGCGTTCGTCTGATATTCAGTCCGGAATTCATGGTTCGTTTCGGAGTCTATTTTGGAGCAATTATTTCAAATATAAATAAATAAAATCATTCAACCGTTTGTTTCACACAAAATTAGACATAAAAAGAGTTAATACCAATTGCTTTCCAGACGGCACTCGTGATGGGATTGGAGTCGACGAGACATTGGACGGTAAGACTATTGCCTTCGTTTATAGTGTACACCTTCTGCGGAACACTCACTTGCGGTGCGTCTGAAACGGGTTTTACTCTTATTGTTTGCCGTAATTATAATTCAATACAAGAATAGGCTATGACTTACACATCACGTTAATCAGCGCTGAAGTGTTTTGAGTTATTGTCTGATGGATTGATAGGCAGCTGATCGTTGAGTTTCTGTGCATTCGTTTGAATATATAACTCAAAACTGATGTCACTTTAGGCGAGTCGCCAGTGATTGAGTCGATGTTCGTTCGCGACTAAATAAAAAACATTTTTACATTCATATTATTTTTAAAAAGCATTTTTAATTTTAAAAAAACGTTTGCTAACATGTATTGTGACATTTTCGCCGTCGATATACCACTCAATACGAGGCGCAGGATTTCCGTTGGAAGAAATGCACTCAATCTCATTGCTTCTGTCAGAGTATACTCTCAGTTGATTTGATTCCTGAATAACAAATAAAAAATGCATTTTAGAAATATTTAATGCAATAATAATGAGACGAGTGTTGAATATAATACCACAGATCTAATGGATGGAGGATTGGGAGCGACGAGAACAACCACTTTGACGGGATCTGAGCTGATGGTGGACTCGTGGATGTTGGGTGAGGTGACCTGGCATTGCCATTCACCCTCGTCATACTTCGGGTCCAAGTTGTAGATATGCAGCGAACAGTCGCCTTCAAAAAGCAATGCAAATATTAGCACAAACTCAACGACAATAATCACCCGAATATGTATTGACAATAAAGATAGCGAACGATACCATTAGAGGGTTGTCTCAGAAACTGGTATTTGTTGGGTATATTGCCGACGGCCTGATTGTTCTTAAGCCAAAGACATTCGCCTTCTCTGCCTCTAACAGTGCAGGGAATGTCCAGTTCCTGACCTATGGTTTCATATAAACAAATAGAGAGACCGATAAGAGGTTTATTTCGGGGAACAATGTGTTGACATAAGAGGAGAGTATTATTATTATACCTCTGAGTCGTTGATAAGTGCCTTCCGGACGCCTTTCAAACCGTTGCGAACCTATGGATGGGAGACGAGAAACAAATACATTTACTTTAGTTTTGTCGCTAATCACACATTAAAACATTAGTTTAGAAAAATAAAGTCATTTCTCAAACATTGGATGCATTGAAGGGAAACACTATTTGAAATGAAAGATACAATAGAGAAATAATGAATGACTAAATAGTATTCGACAAGAATAATGGGATCAAATAAATCCTCACTCAATACAAATTCAATTTCTCTCAACAGACCTCATATATCGAGTGCATTGGTTGGCAAACAACAAATTTTTAGACACAAAAAATGCCTGAAATAACAATTAGAGTGAAGCCTACCATACGTTGTCGTTATATTCAAGCAAACAAATGGATGACAATTACTGACAATAGGATTATATCGAAAAAATGAGTTTATTTTACAATGACTTTGAAAAACATAATAAAAAAGCAAAACTTATTTTTTCATCATTAGTTTGAATGTCAATACATTTACTTGTATTCTGGGGTCAGATTTGGCAAACAATACAATCGCAAAACAAAAGCTAATCGTTTAATATCTCATACAATAGTAAATAATGAAATTGAGAAATTTGTAAAATGCTTTTAATGTCATTTTCAATAAACTTATTCATTAGGAAAATAATTATTTAATTAATTAATGTTTGGATCGATTGTCAGAATATTATATTTGAAATGTCATAAGAAATGAAGAAAAAACATTAGAGACAAGTAATGATTGTACGGAAACCGCACGCAAATTGACTCTTAAATACAGTATCACTAAAACAATTGCAAATACTTTTTGAAAACTCATTTAAGACTGTATTGAAAACAGTTGTAATGCTTTTAAGGCATCACTTATTTTGAAGAAAAATTTAAATTAACGGAACAATAAATTAGTTTTTATGAATAACTTTTTAAACACTATAATTACAAACAAATCACAACTGAAACACAGGTCCTCTGAAAAGAGGGGTTTGCGATGGAAATGAACTACAAGTTGTGTATTGAAGATAACGTCGAAATTATTAATAATTTCTAATATATCTGTACAACGGATGGCTTGTGTGTAGGTTTGCATTGAATGTCTCAATCCAAGCGTTTCATTACTTGTGATTCAATTTATATTTAAAATTCAAAATTATGTAATTTTCTGAGAAATTAAATACAATTTTACATTTTGAATAAAAGATTAGACCAAAGTCTCCGGAAAAGTGTATCATATAATCATATAATTGATTAAAACTGGATATGAAATTCACAGTTAGGGTTCGCATTGTATTATTGCTATTAAATATTGTGAATGAATTCATAAGCAAAAAGTGTGTCCAAATATAATGAAGTAAAACCATTAAAGCGTTAAAGCATTTATTATAGAGGGTTTTGTGAGAAGACATTTAACTTATTGTGAAAAATGCAATCAATAATAAAAGTTAAATTTGATTTAAAATTGAATAAAAATAAGAAAATTAATTTTGAATTAAATCAAGAATTTCGTGCAAAAAGTAGAATATATTACACATTATATTAGACTTTTTGGGCAAAATTTATAGAAAAAAGTGTTAAAATTAGAAACTTCTTAGACATTCGTGACCAACGAATTGAGGTTTTCTATACATTATATAATATATTGTGTGCAAAACCTAACAAACAGTATGTGTTTTGCATTCAATAAATAAAATATCAAATGCAATGTTATTTGAATTATTTACGGACTCAATACAACTCAAAAATAACAATTTTTGAACACAAATATTGAGGTCCACAGCAAACAGACAAACTTGAAAAGTGAGTTCAAAATGCATTTATTATTTATTTTATAACTTATAATAAAAACTAAAATCATAGATGAGAGCAAAAATTGAAATATAGTTTAGACCTCTTTTTTAAATGTTAGCCATAAATGATAAGACACTACATAAATATTCAATACATAAGTTGTTATATCTTTGAATCTCAAGCAGTAAAATGAAAATTATATTTTATTTAGGGTTTAATAACAATTAGATTAGACAGTGATGTAAATGAATGAATCAAATATTATGTGTTTGATTGACACAAAACTCCATGTCTTATATGTCTTAATACTGATTCAATTTATAGCCCATTAAGTCAACAGGTTTTTCATTTAGGGCTAAATATAAATTTTTGATTGCATTGCAATAAAAATAGATTTAATGGTTAATCAGTTATCAAGTTTAAAGTTTATAACTTATAACTCATATAAATGTAAATCAGACGAAACCATGCGTTCACAGCAAAACACAACTCATGTCTGACTTCTTGTAATGAATTCACTCAAAAATATCACTTTTCAGCAAATGTCAGATAATGTCTAAAATGTTAGTAAAATTTCAATTATAAATCACTTTTCAAATCAATGAACGAATTAACTCTTCACTCAATACTAAATCAATAAATATATTAAACACTGCATCAAAACTTATTTAATGCCAAAAATTACTAGTTTTATATAAATTGGCAAAATATAAGACTAATTAAGACAACAATATGTGCAGACAATACGCCCTTTAAAATGAAATAATAAGAAAAATTTAAACATAAAATTAGTTTAATTAGAGATATAAAGCAAAAAATTTTCAAACATTGTTAAGAAACAAAGTTTTATCGGTTTTTGAAAAAATACAGAGAAAACAGAAATAAAATGTTTACGGATGCGAGAAATTTGTATTATTTGAAGTGAAAAATGTGTTCATATTGTAAGACAAGACAATTGAATGACAAGTAAATGGTTACACAAAACAGATAAACAAATCTCTTAAATGCATACCAATAGAGATGAGACGATAACTGTTAAAAATGATAACTTATTTTTATAAATCATTCATTTCTACACAAATTTAAAATTAAAAAATAACAAAAAACTCAGCAATTAATACCCGAAAGCTTTGAAGATATAAATCAAATATAAAACCCGAATATTTATAAATAAAAAGCAAATATTATGTGTGAGAGCAACGAGTGGGTCATCGATAAGCCCTTCATTGAAATGCAAAAGCATTTGAGTTTTGAATTCATGAAAAAATAGTATTCAAACGAATGGAGAGAATAGGGAATAGGCATACAATTCATGGAAACGAATGTCTCATTAGTTTCATTTGTTTGATTACAGGACTGACAGCACCTAAAACACAGCCTAATCTGCGCTCCAATAAGTTTTGTACAAAACTTTTTAAACAAAAACAGGAAATGATTTTTGTGTTTGCGTTTCAATTGTTATCCAAAAATATTATGATTTAACGGCAAAAAACGAAAAGTCTAAACAAAATTAAAGTGAATTTTCAAAACATAATACTTTGTTAATTGTCGTCACTTTGAAAAGCAGACAAATGAGCGAAAGAACTCACTATTAATCCGCTAATTCATTAATCGTCGGATAAATTACGGATTCTTTAGAAATGAGACGACTATTACTCTTCCGGTAAGAAATATTAACCAAAAAAAAACAATCGTTGAAACGAAATATCTTTTCCTAAACTTAAATATTGTCTATATTTGAAAGGAATGTAAAAATTTAAGATCAAAACCTCAATTGAATATCCATTGAATGCAAATGGCTATTGAAAAAAGTGTATTATTAAGAAGTATGTCATGTAATAGTTCGCCAGAAAACACAAACTCAAACCCAACTCAAACTCAATGCATTAAAATTACACAAAATCTTAGGTATAATTCTTGATATCACGAACGGATCAAATTTAAGGCTCACTTATATTATTGTTATTAAAGTCTATTATAAGAAAAATATTTAAATTAATGGTATTTAAGCATTTCATTGAAACGCAAAACTATTTTTAGTTCAATATATCATCGATTATAAGTCCGTAATTGTGTTTCAATGGCATTGCGTTTACATTGCATTTGCATTCAATGATATAGGAATTGCAAATATCATACAATAATGCAATCATTTAATGAATCATAAATATGTTTACATTTGTATTGTATTTACCATTTTATAAATTACTATAAAACTGTATAAAACACTACAAGAAATATAGTTTTTCTTAAATATTACCAGGAATTTCATGACTCATAAGATGTGATGAATATCTTATAAAATGTGAGCCAACTTTTCATTCAATTTAACGCTAATATAAATTATGTATTATATTAGAAAAAGTGTTGCAAAACTCAATTCAATTACAATAATCAACAATTGTTTCATATTTTACTCACATTACATAAATTCACGACAAATTGTGGGCAAAAGTGAAACGAGGATTTAAACGCATATTTAATACGAATTAAACAAAAATATTAATTAGAAAGACCTACTAATGAATGTCTGCCCACGACTTGAGCTTAACTCTTGTAAATTACTATTAAATCCGTTGTTAAATAGGAAACAGTTATGAATACAATGTTAGAGAGATTGAAGATTGCGTGAGAAAAGCCTTTATATAATATATGCTAAACTTATTTCGCTTTAAACATAAACTTCAGTCAATTTTACATAATTTTCTTTCTAATTATCCTTAAATAAAGAGACGAAACGAGTTTTTCGTATAAAACAATATCTAATCATAATTTGAGAATTTAATTATAAAAATCTAATCAAGAATTGGGACCAAAACTAACAAAATGTTTCAAAATATATTCATAAATGGAGATAAATATGTAATCTATGGTTAAAGTGAAGTACAGTTTAAATGTTGTTATCATGACATTGACTGAGGAAGTGGTGGATGTGTTGACACCAACAATAGACTTCCGTTTGGATCAACTCTCGAGTGACGGATATTTATGAGCGCATCGATGAAACCAAATGAATGGCTATTCAGACACTTGTTATAGTCATTAACTCAACACTTATTATTTAACGTATAATACATGACATCGACATCAATATACAGATCATCGATACGACAAACACATAGACATCGCCCTAATGTCTAACCATTCAATTCAATTGAAAACAATTCAATCCAAAAGGCATTGAAATAGAGTTCACTATTTGTACGAGAATTCAATGCCAGAGAAAGTCATTTAACGATAATTTAATATATTTTGCAAAAAACATTATCAAAAACTATTAAATATATATTTACCGAAAACCCATAACACATCACATAATTATATTAACTATTACTTTGTCCTCAAAAAAGGGTATTTTAATTGAAAATTCATGAAAAATCTCTATAAATAATAAACTTAAGAACATTAAAATTGTGCCACTTTTTACGGCTTTAAAATTTAATACTTATATTAAAACAAAATTTTTAAGATAAATATTTTTATTGTGACTATAATTAGTGAACAAAAATTATTAAAACTTTTATCGTAATTAAAGGAAATTAAAAAAAACTTCACAAATGGATTCATAATTTTGATCAGTTATTGATAGTAACGGTTGAGCCGTCGGTCCGTTAATTGCAAACGAGATTTCAAATGAGAAACACGTTTTTGAGTTCAACAACAACTCTGTTGTCGACAATTGCATTGAGAAAAAATGCATATTTTTTAAATTCATAAAAAGGAGTCTAAAAAAAGTTTTAAATCTTTTTCAATTGAATATTCAAAATATTTGACATGAATTCCTAATTGAAGTTCATTTTTCAAAAACTTTTTCAACGAACACATTGTTTGCCACTTATTGCTCAAAATCTTATCACAAAAACTCTATATCTCTCTATATTTTTAATTTATTTTATCGCAAAAAAGTGATGGAAAATAAGATGAAAATAAATGTTTCAAAAAATGATTTAAAAAGTTATAAGAAAACAATTAATAAGAGATGTTATAATAAATGGGTTGAAAAAGGCTTTGATTAGAGAAAAAAGAGTATAAAAGAGTGTAAAGAAGTTAATAATAATAAGTGAAGTCATGGAAGATATAAATCAAATGTTGGCTCAGAAATGAATGATTGAATTGTTTGAAACAATTGAACGATAATTAGATTTTTCAAAACAGATCTTAACTTTGAACTACTTTTTCGAGAATACATTTCTATCGTTTCATTCAATTATGATTTACATTGAAATGAATGAATCAAAAGTCGGGCTAAAAAAATTGAACGATAATTAGATTTTTCAAAACAGATCTTAACTTTGAACTACTTTTTCGAGAATACATTTCTATCGTTTCATTCAATTATGATTTACATTGAAATGAATGAATCAAAAGTCGGGCTAAAAGGCTGTCCACTATTGATAACAGTATAATATTATACACGTATTGTACATATAATGGTCAGACCCTCGATATACTTAACAATTTAATTAAATTGTATGTTTTCAAGTGACTTTCCATACATTACTCATACCATTATCTGTATAATTATTAGATACAAACAAAATTGGTTGAAATATACAAAACAATTTAACATATTGTTAAGTGTTTATCAGTGCTTTTATGCAATCAATTGTATACACAATACAAGTAAATACCATACCATACGATACAATGCACTCAAAACACAAAACAAATACATTTTCTGTACAAATGGCATGTAATGCACACATAATTTGTATTCAAATTAAATCATAATTGCATTCAATAATCAAAGCAATTAATCAATAAATATATAAATGCTGAGCAATTGTATTGTATATAATCGGAGTCACAATTAATTCACATAAGAAAACACTTTTATCTCAATTCAAGTCCATTATTGAGGACATTGTCTATCAATCCTAAGGCAAACATAAATTAATTCAATTTAAAAATAAACTCATTTAACAAATAGTGAACTAATAATTAGCTGAAAAGTGACACAAAAAGCATTAATTAGAGATTAAGGCTTAAGAAATGCATTAAATAAGAGTTAAGTCTAATATATTTTTGACAAAAAGCAATTATTGAGCGAAATATTTGATAAAATAAAGCAAAATAGCATTAAATGCATAACGCGTTTAGTCTAATCATTTAAATGTTCAAAAATTCAAATGCAATTCAAATGTATTTCAAAACTATTTTACGTTTTTTGGTTAAAAAAGTAATCGAAAAAACAATTATATAATAAGACTAATAAGAAATAAAGAGTTTTTTGTAATATTTAGTGGTTTTGTGTTTTCAAAACATTTGCATTGAAATGAATGGAAATTTTCAAAACTCAAATGCAATGGTATTTCAATTTGAAAGAAAATAAAATAACTTTTTTATATAATAGCTGTAAGTCTTATACAACGGGTATTGAAGCAAAATAGCGGTTCACGGCATAAATGGGTCACTAAATTGTGTTTAAATACTAAATAACATTAATTTGTGTTATGTTTGACTCAACACAACTGTCTATACCAGCAATAAGTCTGTCTTATATTCATAAATCATTCATCGATTTCTCGTTAATTATATTAATCTAATAATCATATAATAATAATAAGTTTTTTGTCACCAAATAATCATTGAATTCAATGTCAATACAGAAAATAAAAGATTATATAAAAAAGTTATTAAATTAATTAATTATAATTGCATTCAATACTAAATTCTCTATACGTTTAGTCATATATTAATTTTGAAAAACAATTCATTAATTCTCTCTCAATATCATTGAAAAAACTGTTATTTCTTTCAAGTTTTCAATTGAAAAATAAATACACGTTTTGTTTGAGAAATGAATGAAAACCACAATTAAATACATATCATATAAAAGTAAAAGACATTAAAAGTAATACAAATTATAATAATATATAAGATTAAGAAATGTTTTGTTTTCAACACAAACCTTGAGTTGAGTTAATAATAATGAATATCAATAAAAGTGACCAAAAATTAATGTTAACAACAATATAATGGTTTGATTTCAGATTCAATGACATCTTTGCCACCAATTATTGCCGTTATTTTGATTATCGATTCAAAAGCCGTCCAAAGGATTCAATAAACAAATCAAATCATAAAATACTGAATAAAAAAACTTTTTGATCAATAGTTGTGAGAATCGATTGAATCAATCGTTGAGAAGATTTGTTGAGATTTTTGCGTTGAAAATGAGTGCCAAAAAAGCCGTTCAATTCATAGACGAGACAATGAAATGAGATTTCAAATCATAAATATGTGGTTAAAAACAATACAAAACGGATGGTCTGTCTCTTAAGTAAAACACATTTAAGTAAATAAAGTATATTTGCGGCGAAAATACAATTAAAATCAATGAATCGACGATTGGATCACATTTTGGGCCACATTTTTGGTCATTTCATGTGTTTTTGTTCAAAATGTTTGGTCGGTTTGTCTGTTGTGTCCATTCATAGAGTCATTCATCACATTATGGCTGACATAAGCGGAGAAAAGCACTAATTATTTGAATATAACATCAAATGAATAGCCATTGAGAGGACAGACAGCGAACGGTAAGCAAGCGTTCAAATCCAGACTCAACTGTCAGTGTGTTGTGTGGGCCCAGCCTTTGCCTGCCTTTGCCATACAGTCAACGTCACCATTGCCTACACAACCACACCATACCTTTGCGCGCATGTCTCACATCGGGGTCACCACACGTCACGCTTCACCGCCACGAATGCCAACCCTCACCACTGGCTCACTCTCCCGGACCACAACCACCACTACACCGACCCATACAACTCAGGCCACCCGACACTACACCCCGACAATGCATTCAAACACAATTTAACACATTTTAATATCAATTTAAAACTAATTTAATTTATTATTACTTTGCTTTCAAATGATTAATGTTTTATAACAATTGATATAACATTTTGTTTTTGTTGCTTAAACACAATAAAACTAAACTTAAATACAACTTTTAAATAACAGATTTTATATAAATTAATAATTAAATCAACAAATTATATCATGAGTTTAATCATCAAATATTTATATATTTATAGATTATTATCAATAATAATAATTAACAAAAAACATTGAATCGGTTTTCCAAGTAATCTAAAAGTATGGCTAAAAATTAGTTAAAAAGTGACAAGAATTTGCAACTCATATACATATAACGGTATATAAAAAGCTGAACACTTTAATGAAATTAAAACTTAATTAAAATTACGTTAATATAACATAAAAGTTAATCCAAATAATGACACGGAAATTGATTTGAAATTTCATTAAATAATTGCCTAAATGTTAATTTAAAATGTTTTTAAAATACTTGAAAATCAATAACTTTTGCCAAAAATAGCGATGAATTTGTTAATTAAAATAAACAGTGTTTTCATAATTATCTGTAATTATATTGTGGAACGTCTGTAAAATTGAAGTCACTTTAAAACATTACTTTTATTAGTATTCGTTGCAATTGTTGTAAATTATGTCATCATTTAATTATTATATTAGTATTTAGTATTTGATATCATGAGAGGTTTTGTGTGTGTATTGTGTGACCAGTGCTTAAAGTCTTGAGGAGTAGTTAAGCGAATCATTGGATTGACGGTAGAAGAGAACGTATGCGTCCTTTAGTTGGGAGGCATTGAAACTGTCGGTCACGTCCTTCACTCTATACAACACAATCACATACTTATTAATGCATTTGTCAACAAAACACTGTTAATCGCATACCTTTCGTCATTGAAATGAAACCATTTGCTATCGTATTGACAGTAAGCGGTGTAATGACCACTACGTGATGAGTATCCGTGATGGCAGACACACGCGTACAGATTGTATGTCTTGCCGTCGATCGTTATATTTCCGTTTACACTAATGTCTTGACTCGAGAGCTTAAAGCCGTCGTTTGCAAATTTTTTCAAATCTAAACATCGTTTGCAAAAATAACATTTAAATAAACACTTTATAAACAAAATAATTAGTCTCAAGACATACGAAAGATTAAGATTTGTGGCGAACGTTGAATCGTTAACCTCTTTGTTGACCGTCGATGGCGTTTACAGCGCGAACAGAACTGCAAATTCAATGTTTTGTTATTACAAACAATGTCTCAATTTATAGCCCAATTGTGATCACATACCGGCTGTTCGTCGTCATCGAGAACTTCTTGAGCAGTAAATTCTTCAACACATCTCTCGATATCACATCGACTTCTGTAACAAATGAACAAATATTTTAATTTTAAAAACAAAATGACTAAAAAAGTTTTATTTTTGATTATAGATTTAACACTAATTATTCTCACACTGTATTAAACTTTCATATATTTCTACCAATTGTTTATTTAAGTATTAAAATTAGAAATAGTTTTACAAAGTTTGTAGTGCTTTAAACTTTCAAGTTTAAAGGATTAAAATATAAATAGTCTTTTAAAATATATAAAACACTATAACACCTAAACTATGCCATAAATCTACTAAAGAAGTAGCGGTACTAAAAAGTATTATTAGATAGCAATGGATTGCAAACCTGTCTCTGGGCAGCGGTAGTGACAGATCCCAGAATGGATCCCAACAACTACTGGTGTTATTACATTCCGTACACTTAATCACTGATGAGAACTGACCAACAAATAAGTCAATCAGTCGCGAGTCGTCGATAACTATTTTGTATTGATTCCACGCCTCTTGTGATGTATTTNTCTACAGATATGCTCACCAGTGGCCGGTCTGACCAATTTAGGCAATACATGTTATATGAATTCTGTACTCCAAGCCCTTTACGCCACGCGACAGCTCAGAGATTATATCACTAATGGCTACGAGTCTTCGGGAGGAACACTCTATTCGGGTTAGAATTTATAGATAAATGTTGTTTAAAACTAAATCTAATGTGATTTTGCAATCAATAGGTTTGTCCCGACTTTTTAAAGAAATGGCTGCAAATGTTAGGACGGGTTCTGTGAATCCCACATCGTTTAGATCAATGTTTATTCAATATCAGCCCAAGTTTAGAGGATACGAGTAATGCAGTCTTTGTTTAGATTCAAATTAGAGTTATTAATAATATTACTGTTTTTGTTTCAAATTGCAGTCAACACGACGCTCAAGAGTTCTTGAGATATCTTATCAATGGATTACACGATGAGGTGAACAAAGCAAAGAGGAGACCAAAGGCTAAACTAATTGAACGTACGTTTCAAGAATTGCAAACTATATTTAAATCATAAATTAATAATTTGTTTCAAATACACAGCAAATACATCACAAGAGGCGTGGAATCAATACAAAATAGTTATCGACGACTCGCGACTGATTGACTTATTTGTTGGTCAGTTCTCATCAGTGATTAAGTGTACGGAATGTAATAACACCAGTAGTTGTTGGGATCCATTCTGGGATCTGTCACTACCGCTGCCCAGAGACAGGTTTGCAATCCATTGCTATCTAATAATACTTTTTAGTACCGCTACTTCTTTAGTAGATTTATGGCATAGTTTAGGTGTTATAGTGTTTTATATATTTTAAAAGACTATTTATATTTTAATCCTTTAAACTTGAAAGTTTAAAGCACTACAAACTTTGTAAAACTATTTCTAATTTTAATACTTAAATAAACAATTGGTAGAAATATATGAAAGTTTAATACAGTGTGAGAATAATTAGTGTTAAATCTATAATCAAAAATAAAACTTTAAATCAGTAAAACAAAAATTTTAATTTTATAAACAAGTAAACAATGTCTTCAGCTACACTATAGCTCTCTACACAACTTCTTAAATGACGAGTTCTTCAAGAGCTACTGCTGCTTGTCGGCCATACAGATCACAATTGGGCTATAAATTGAGACATTGTTTGTAATAACAAAACATTGAATTTGCAGTTCTGTTCGCGCTGTAAACGCCATCGACGGTCAACAAAGAGGTTAACGATTCAACGTTCGCCACAAATCTTAATCTTTCGTATGTCTTGAGACTAATTATTTTGTTTATAAAGTGTTTATTTAAATGTTATTTTTGCAAACGATGTTTAGATTTGAAAAAATTTGCAAACGACGGCTTTAAGCTCTCGAGTCAAGACATTAGTGTAAACGGAAATATAACGATCGACGGCAAGACATACAATCTGTACGCGTGTGTCTGTCATCACGGATACTCATCACGTAGTGGTCATTACACCGCTTACTGTCAATACGATAGCAAATGGTTTCATTTCAATGACGAAAGGTATGCGATTAACGCGTGTTTTGTTGACCAATGCATTGCAATGTGATTGTGTTGTATAGAGTGAAGGACGTGACCGACAGTTTCAATGCCTCCCAACTAAAGGACGCATACGTTCTCTTCTACCGTCAATCCAATGATTCGCTTAACTACTCCTCAAGACTTTAAGCACTGGTCACACAATACACACACAAAACCTCTCATGATATCAAATACTAAATACTAATATAATAATGAAATGATGACATAATTTACAACAATTGCAACGAATACTAATAAAAGTAATGTTTTAAAGTGACTTCAATTTTACAGACGTTCCACAATATAATTACAGATAATTATGAAAACACTGTTTATTTTAATTAACAAAATCATCGCTATTTTTGGCAAAAGTTATTGATTTTCAAGTATTTTAAAAACATTTTAAATTAACATTTAGGCAATTATTTAATGAAATTTCAAATCAATTTCCGTGTCATTATTTGGATTAACTTTTATGTTATATTAACGTAATTTTAATTAAGTTTTAATTTCATTCAAGTGTTCAGCTTTTTATATACCGTTATATGTATATGAGTTGCAAATTCTTGTCACTTTTTAACTAATTTTTAGCCATACTTTTAGATTACTTGGAAAACCGATTCAATGTTTTTTGTTAATTATTATTATTAATAATAATCTATAAATATATAAATATTTGATGACTAAACTCATGATATAATTTGTTGATTTAATTATTAATTTATATAAAATCTGTTATTTAAAAGTTGTATTTAAGTTTAGTTTTATTGTGTTTAAGCAACAAAAACAAAATGTTATATCAATTGTTATAAAACATTAATCATTTGAAAGCAAAGTAATAATAAATTAAATTAGTTTTAAATTGATATTAAAATGTGTTAAATTGTGTTTGAATGCATAGTCGGGGTGTAGTGTCGGGTGGCCTGAGTTGTATGGGTTGGTGTAGTGGTGGTAACGGTCCGGGAGAGTGAGCCAGTGGTGAGGGTTGGCAGTAGTGGTGGTGAAGCGTGACGTGTGGTGACCCCGATGTGAGACATGCGCGCAATGGTATGGTGTGGTTGTGTAGGCAATGGTGACGTTGACTGTATGGCAAAGGCAGGCAAAGGCTGGGCCCACACAACACACTGACAGTTGAGTCTGGATTTGAACGCTTGCTTACCGTTCGCTGTCTGTCCTCTCAATGGCTATTCATTTGATGTTATATTCAAATAATTAGTGCTTTTCTCCGCTTATGTCAGCCATAATGTGATGAATGACTCTATGAATGGACACAACAGACAAACCGACCAAACATTTTGAACAAAAACACATGAAATGACCAAAAATGTGGCCCAAAATGTGATCCAATCGTCGATTCATTGATTTTAATTGTATTTTCGCCGCAAATATACTTTATTTACTTAAATGTGTTTTACTTAAGAGACAGACCATCCGTTTTGTATTGTTTTTAACCACATATTTATGATTTGAAATCTCATTTCATTGTCTCGTCTATGAATTGAACGGCTTTTTTGGCACTCATTTTCAACGCAAAAATCTCAACAAATCTTCTCAACGATTGATTCAATCGATTCTCACAACTATTGATCAAAAAGTTTTTTTATTTAGTATTTTATGATTTGATTTGTTTATTGAATCGTTTGAACGGCTTTTGAATCGATAATCAAAATAACGGCAATAATTGGCGGCAAAGATGTCATTGAATCTGAAATCAAACCATTATATTGTTGTTAACATTAATTTTTGGTCACTTTTATTGATATTCATTATTATTAACTCAACTCAAGGTTTGTGTTGAAAACAAAACATTTCTTAATCTTATATATTATTATAATTTGTATTACTTTTAATGTCTTTTACTTTTATATGATATGTATTTAATTGTGGTTTTCATTCATTTCTCAAACAAAACGTGTATTTATTTTTCAATTGAAAACTTGAAAGAAATAACAGTTTTTTCAATGATATTGAGAGAGAATTAATGAATTGTTTTTCAAAATTAATATATGACTAAACGTATAGAGAATTTAGTATTGAATGCAATTATAATTAATTAATTTAATAACTTTTTTATATAATCTTTTATTTTCTGTATTGACATTGAATTCAATGATTATTTGGTGACAAAAAACTTATTATTATTATATGATTATTAGATTAATATAATTAACGAGAAATCGATGAATGATTTATGAATATAAGACAGACTTATTGCTGGTATAGACAGTTGTGTTGAGTCAAACATAACACAAATTAATGTTATTTAGTATTTAAACACAATTTAGTGACCCATTTATGCCGTGAACCGCTATTTTGCTTCAATACCCGTTGTATAAGACTTACAGCTATTATATAAAAAAGTTATTTTATTTTCNTAAACATTAATGCATAAAATTCAAGACTTGGCAAAATACTCATAAAATTAAAAATAATCAAGTTAATTTATTCACATAAATTTTAATATAAAATATAAACACTATTACACAATAGAACAAATTTTTATAAATTTATGATGGCCACTTTGACCACAATGCACTTTTCAATGCGCCAATTCATACACCTGACTAACGACTCTATGTATTAGCGCCTATGTATATGTGCTTTATGTCTCGATTTTGATCATAAAATTATCGATTAATCTCTCGATCAGAGGTATTCCCGTAATGTGAGCATGGCCAAATTTCACACATTGTTGGCCCGTGGCATTTTCCTAACGTGCATAATGTATTCTGATTCCCGAGTCCACACTGGCTAGAATAATTGGAGTGTGTCCCGAGCCGCATGTTTGGCCGTAGTCAAAAATTGTTTGCGACCAAAGTGGCCACAATAAATTAACAAAAATTTGTTCAATTGTGTATTAGTTATTATATATTATATTAAAATTTATCTGAATAAATTATCTTGATTATTTTTAATTTTACAAGTATATTACCAAGTCTTGAATTTTATGCATTAAAGTTTACCTTTATAAAACTTAAAAACAAATTATAATAATTGTTTTGTTTATTAGATAGTAAACAAAATTGATTTCTTTTTTACAGACATAATAAACATGAAATTATTACATTAATAATTCAATTAATAATTCTATTAATAATTCTATTAATATTGAACCATGTATAAATGGTAAAATTCATAATCAATATAGCTGTCAAATGTTCTTTTAAATATTAGTATTTTTATTTTTTACTTACATCAATAATAAAATTGTTTTTTGACAATTATGTTTGAAAACTATGATTATATAAATAACATTAATTATTAAGGCTTTTATAAAATGAACATTATAATAAAATATTTAAAATAAATATTTTAAATTACATGTCAATTAAAAATATAGCTTACAGAATCAAATTAAATTTATTTTATTAATTAAGTATAGTTCATTTATTTATTTAAGCTTATTGTAAAAAAGTATTGTAACAGACAATGGTGTGTGAACACTGATGATGTTTTATAAGCATTATTTTAATAAAGGTAATAGCCCAAAAATTAGAGTAATTTTAAAGTTAAATAAGACAAATCTCGTACTAAATGTGTATAATAATTATAATATTTAAAATAAACAAATTAAATGTTTTTAAGCATCATTTTAATATGTCTAGTTAAAATTTTTATAGTATATATTATTAAAACAAAATCATATATGTTATTATGATTTGGATGTTTGAAACAGAATCACTGTATAGTTTAATACAAACGCAAATATCTGTAAAGTTAAATAAAATAATTACATAATAATAAGCATATTTATTGCTATTAAATAAATTAATAATAAATGTTAATCACAAACATAAATGTCATTTAAACAATAAATACCGAAATCAGTGTCTGTTTATCGATGGCAACAAACCCTCCGATTGTGAGTCCAAACGAATGCATGTTTTGAGTAATTTTTGTAAACATAAACCATTGTCTGTACTCCGTATCTAACATATCCTGAGTATTCATAGTATTTAAAATGATATTAATTTTATCAGGGTAATTTTTAATTGTGTCGCCCAATAGGCATGTTACACCTAATACAAGAGCATCAATAAATGCCATCATCATGATCAAGTAAAACGCAAAATTAAGTGAACCAAAATGATCATGCTGTATCACAGCGTATACTCTTAGCATCGTGTTAAATACCGAGCAAACAAATTGACCAATTAGTGCCAGGCGCAATTTTTCATCAATTGATTTTAACATTATAAATACTTCTAAATAATTTTGTTTGCATTGTATAAGTAATCTGGTATTAGTTTGTTTATTAAATGAGTTTTGCGCATTTAATGTTGCTGAAATATTTAAATTTATAAACATGTTATATTTAAATATATAAAGGGGCAGTCAAGTAATCTTGCGGCTCGCGTTTTGGCCATTACTCCTAAAGTACAAGAGATAATTAGATTCTGTAAAATGGAT